CTGTGGGCTTTCCACCTGCCTTCCCACTCAGCTTAATCATGTCCAGCTTTGGTTTAAAGTGAGCGATGTGTGGCGCTCCCGGGACACAAGGGGCCATCGCAGAGCTCTCAGTAGTGTTGTGTGTCAGGGGACAGGGAGGCCCAGAAGAGGAGGGACGGGGACAGCTGGAGATGGAGCAGGCAGAACACACAGCATCTGTCAGTTAAGTTCACTTTCTTACAAAGGTGCAGCCCATGGCACCCCAAAACAGCTAGCATGGCACCACCAAGCCCACTGATCACAGATCACCAAAACAGACATAATGTCCTCAGACCAGTGGGACTCAGGAGCACGAAGTGAGGGCCTGCTGGTGGACACCGGCCCCCACCGCCCTTGTAGAAAGCCAGCATCTGTGAAGGGCCGGCGAGCCGGCGTGCCTGTGCTGCCCTCTGCCGGTCATCACCCCTCACACCCCGCTGAGCGCCCGAAGGGCGCCTGGGGCCGGCTAGGCCTGCACCCTACTTCTGTATGCATAAATGAATAAATCTTTAAAATAAAAATAAAACATAAGACGAGCCAGCTAGGAGTAAAGAGCGTGAGAGCCAAGGGGGAGGAGGTCAGTGAGGCCGTGGCCAGCCTTCGGGGGGGAGGGGGTAACTGTTTCCAGCCCCACTGCCACCTGCCTTGATGAGGCTGCGCTCTGGACTCCTCTTACTTCAAGGTCGTGGGCAATCCCCTTTTTCCCCTTTAACAACAGCTTTTCACTCAGCTGCTTCCTGGCATCTAGCAGTTAGTTGCTCAGGGCAACCATCTGGGGCTGCTGCCTTACCCTGCTGGCCGCAGGGGGCCCAGCACTCCAGGGCTGGAGGGTGGCCCCAGCGCTTCAGTGGCAGCTAGTGGCAGGGCAGGTGCCTGGCTGGACGGGCCAGGTAGCCCCAGGTCCACAGCCTTTGGGCTCTGTGGGAGCAGTGATTACCCGCATGGGTCGCCGCTGGGTGGGGTTCCTGCCAGCAGGGACCAGCCAGCAGCCCCCTGTGGCCTGGATCCTGGTGCCGCTCTGTCTCATTCCCCGGGTGGCCGCCCCATCCTCTCCGAGCACGACTCATCTGTCAAGGGGGAGGATGTAAATAAAGACCGTTCTCTAGCCTGGCCAGCAACATCAGCACCTGAAATGGCTCTCACAGCAGGAGCAGCTGAGTCACCCTGGCTTCCAGCATTAACTGCCAGTTTATCGAAGCTCTCAATCCCTCCACCAGATTATCATCTCCCTGGAAGCAAAAGGACTGAAATCAGAATTCTGTGCCTCTGCGTCTCCAGGCCAGAGCCTGTGGCGCCCACAGATTGCGGGGTACCATAGAGATGCTCAAATTCTTATTAGCCTGGAACCTCATTCAAACCATGGCACCAGCACCCAACAGAAACAGCAAGACGAGATCTGGTCAGAACCTGGAGCCCAGAGAGCAGCTGCCTGCCCATGTTCCCGGCAGGGAGTGGCAGACCCCTGCGGTCCTGTCCCCTCTGGACACCCTCCCCAGAAGCACCCACCCCGCACCTGCAGCTTCCAACACAGGCAGGAACTCAGGATGTAAGCCACACCGGCAGAGGAGGCCCTCTGTGCCCACATGCCTCCACGGTGCCCCAGAAAGGCGGTGCCCCCTCCCCTGGCCCACTGGCGCCCAGCCTGCAACAAGAAGCAAGCTCCTGCTCTGTGCCCCCCACTTAGAATAGCCCCGACCTGAAAGCTTCCTGCCCCGCTGGGCAGTGAGGTGGCCCGTGCACCCCTGTCCCTGGGGCCCACCCCCGCACTTCCTCTGCACTCCCGCCTTCCCGCCCCACGGCACAGGCCCAGGGCCATTGCACAGGGAGGCTGCAGTGCCATCTGCCCAGCCTGCGCCGGGGCCGGGGCCGGCTGTGAGCTGGGTGGAAATGGGCCTGGGCTCGAACTCACGATAGCGCTTACGAGGCGCGTGTTCCTGACTGTGGCTTTGGTTTCCTGGATTCTAAAATGGGACAGTGGTGCTTTGCAGAACTAGCTCAGGCACGCGGGGGTTTGACCCAGGGCCTGGACTCAGTGAGTGGAAGTGCCCATCACTTCCCATTGCACTGTGCACCTGTGTGAGCGAGCGCACGTGTGTTTGCGCGTGAGTTTGCGTATCTGCGCGTGGAGCCATCCACCTCCACCCTGCTTGCGTGCCCCTTCCAGGGCCCGTGGCGCCCACGCGCTGACCGTCTTCCTCTTCCCAGATTGCCAAGGCATCATCGAGGACGTGTTCCTGCTGGGCGCGCCCGTGGAGGGGGACGGCAAGTACTGGGAGCCTTTCCGGAAGGTGGTGTCTGGGAGGATCATCAACGGCTACAGCAGGTGCGTCCACATCTCGTGCCCATGGGGAGGGGACACGCACACCGGGCAGCTGACATGCCTGGGCGTGTGCTGGGGACATGATATGCAGGCCCACCTCTGTCCCGGAGGGTCCAGGTGTCCAGACCCCAGAAGCATCCAGCCCCGCAGGACGATGGGCGGGTGTCAGCACTGAGGTCAGCTTACAGGAGGGGCGCGACTGGCGGCCACCACCTGAGAGTGAACGGGACATAGGGCTGAAAAACAGAATGGGCCCCCCGGGGGTTCTCAGCATGCCAATGAAGGGGTTCATCTAGTCCATGTTTAGCAGTGCAGGAAAGGGCTTTGGGGGCACTCTTTGGGGGTGAGGCAGGTGGACGCGGGAGCCACTGCCCAGGCCGTGAGAGCCAGTGCCCGGCCTTGAGACAGCCCCGGGGAAGACCCTCGGGAAGAGGGTCAGCAAGGCCAGATGCTGTGGAGCTGGGAGGGACACATTCTCCAGGTTTAAGGAGGAGGATTTGAGGGGTTTCAACCAAGGCTGTGCCCCAGGCTCCAGAGAAGAAGGGAGGTGAACCCCACCCCTGAGCCTGGGAGGATGCCCAGCCCCAAGTTTGGAGTTTAAGCAACAGTAAAGGTGGGTGACTCATGGCAAGGGGCAAAGGAAGAAGCAAGGACGGCACCTAGGTGGGCACCACCGGCACAGCTGAAAAATACCAAACAAGGGAGTAAGCCTTGCCAGGGAGACAGAGGGTCCCCTGCTTACGAGCAACAAGTCTAGAACTCAGAGAAATCAGAACTGCAGCGCGAGCTGCTGAAGCCACAGGGACAGGTGAGATCGTTAGAAAGATCAATAAGAAAAATCTAATGGCCAAAGGATATTGACATATAAACTCACAGAATAAATACTGATCGTCACTAGCCTTCAGAAAAGAGTCCCTCCCTCATTAATGAAAGTGGTGCAGGTTAAAATCATCCAGACACTATTTCTCACCCACAAATTATCACATGCGAAACACGAAGAACTTTCCATGTCGGTAACGATGCGGAGAATGCACTATCACGCCTGCTGGTATCAGACTTTATCATGCACCAGTTTTCTGTCCCCACAGATTTTGACTTCTAAGTGTGTCTGCTGTGTTGGACACACTCACATTCTCACACAGGATCATTGCAGCCTGGCTTACAATGAAATTTTAAACAACTCAAATGGCCATAAACAGAGATCGTGAAGGGGAAAAAAGAAAAAGCCAGGCCACATGCCTGCTGTGAGCCCAGTATGTGAAGCTGTTACAGGGCAGCCCAGTGTGAGCTGGGCCGCCTGTCTGTGGGTCTCACCCACCCGCTTAAAATTCAGTTGTACTGCAGACACACACAGAAGCGTCAATAATGGGTTTACAAAAGGGGGAAAGAAAAGGAAACAACCCAGGGAAAGAGAGAGGGATATAATGTAACTGGAATATCTTACCTGCTGGGCTGACTTGGCGATCTGGGAACAAACTAGCTGAAAGCCCTCAGTCACTCCCTCCTGCGAGCTGCAGCCATAGCCTGAGCGAGGGAGCTCCTTTGGAAGATGGTGCCTTATTTATCCCCCAAAGTCCCAGAATGCCTGCTTAGCTCCGCCCTTGGGTCCTCGCAGTTCTCTCCCTGGTACTGCTGGGAGTTGTAGTTTCCAGTCACTGGAGTAGGGGGTGGAGTCCACAAGACTCCGCAGAGTTCCTTTAGGACATCCTTCCCCTTAACAACTAGGGGAAAGTGGGCCCGTGAGCATCTATTAAATGGAAATCTATTAAATGTATGTCTGTAAATGCACAGGGAGATTTAGACGGATGTGAGACGCTGACCGCAGTGGCCACTCCTAAGGAGTGGACAGAGATTAGAAGTAGGGCCTAGAAGAGACTTGAGTTTAATTGCTTGAACGTAACAATAGCTTAAAAAAAAAAAAAAGACTGTTATATTATAAAAAAAAAAAAGATTAAAAACTGGACAAAACTTTGACATCAGTTCTTGCTTAAACTCTTGCCTCAGACATTGACCCATTGGATGGCTTTGGACAAACAACTCTGGATCTCAATATTCCCACCTGTAAAATGGGAATAGCCCCTTCTCACGCAGGGAGTCTGGGAAAAGTTAAGCAAGTTGATGTCAGAAAGGGGCGGCACTTCGTACACGCCTATGAACAATTGCAGCTGCATGGTGAGGGTGGGGCAGGGTCCCTGGCATGTGCTTGGGGTGCTTTCATACAGGGCAGAGGGAAAGAATGAAAATGGCATGTATGCAATATGAAAGCAGCCAAATCTTATTAAATCCATCTGTTCTATTGAGAACCTGAGGCTAATAAGCTTGTTTTTCGATTATTTTTGTGAGATCCTGGGCCATCTCTCCAGAGAGAGGAGGGGGAGGAGGAAGACAGGAGGAAAGAACAAACAGACCAAAACAGCTAACTGTAGTTTCCTGGTTAAATTAAGCACCAACCAGAAAGTCATATCCTCTGTCCCAGGGGCCTTTTCATTGCCCTGAACCTGTTTAAAAGGGGGGGGGGCGGGTACAGGGGAGCCTGAGGCCAGCACCACAGAGCCCCATACACTGATCGGTGTATGCTGTCCTTACCAAATCCCTCTGTGAGCCCGCTCACTTACCGGGGCTTTCACACGACCCAGGAGCCAGCCAGGCAGGGGTTCCGCCCCCCACTGTACCATCAGGAAAGAAGCTCAAAGGGAGCCAAGTGCTGGCCAGGCTAACATCCCGGCTCCCTCACGGAGCCTTGGTCTAAGACACAGCTGCTGGGGTCAGCACTAAGCTAATCACTGGAACTGGCAAACGTTGCCCTCTGGAGACAGTTAAGGAATTCTCTAGCAGAGGAAGCCGACAGTGGTGAGTCATGGCCAGCTCCTAAGGGGGGGGCTGTGGTCAGGTGAGTGTTTAAAGTCTCAGTGACTCAGGGAAGGGGAGGTTCCCAGGGGGGCAGAGAGGAGGCCAGGCATGTGTGCACGAGGTGCGTGGAGGCTGCCTGAGCGCAGGCCTGGAGCAGAGCGGGACAGTTGTAGGGGCTAAAAGAATCTGCAGAATTCTGGGGGGATTGGTCATAGGGAGCAGGGCACCTCAGCATCACACTGGGTTTCGGCTTAGTCTTTGGCAATGGAGAAGGAGCCAGGGGCTGATGAGTTCAGTTTGAAGGGTCTGAAGAGGGCCCCTCAGCTCTGGGCTCCAATCCCTCCAGGGGTTTCGGGAGCCCCTGTGGTCCGAGACCACCACACCCCGGGTCCCAGACAGCTGGGGACACTCACCTAGGGTCACACAGCAGGTCAGAAGGCGGGGTGGGAACCCCAGCCCTCAGCCCACTCCCTCCACACTGAGGTGAATGAGGGCCCTTCTTTCCAGAAAGCCCACAGATACACTGAGCTTAAGTTGCCCTGGAGGCCAAGTTGCGGTGGACTGAGTATAGGGAGTGGGGTTCATAGCACCCAGGAGAGTGGAGTGTCCCGAGAACTGTGGCTGGCCCGCTCGGCCACTGTCGCCTCTCCCAGGTGCTGAGGGCAGGGAGACCATAGGCTGCCCTCTGAGAGACTCGCGGATGGGCCCAGGCCCAGAGGACACCCGCACAGCATGGCGGTGCCGGCCTCTCCCCAGGCCCAGGGGCCTCAGGCCACGGTTCTCCGGGGCCACTGCAGTGCTGCGGGCCCATGTCCAGCCAGCATCCAGCCGGCCAGGCGCTGTCCTCCCGGAGCGGCCTCGGCCCCCAGCAGGCCTCCCGCAGCGCCACCCCGCCCGGCATCCTTCCCAAAGAAGCGCCTGTCCACCAGCTTCCCCAGGCCTGCAGCGCCCTCCCTGGGGGCTCCTGAGACTCCCCCTCCTCCACCCACAGGGGCGACTGGCTGCTGAGCTTCGTGTACCGCACGTCCTCCGTGCAGCTGCGTGTGGCCGGCCTGCAGCCCGTGATGCTGCAGGACAGGAGGGTGGAGAATGTGGACCTGTCCTCCATCGTGAGTACCGCCTGTCCCTAGGGCCCTGCCCGTGGGGAGGGGGGAGGGCACACCTCATTCCCACCCAGCCAGCCAGGGGCCGGGGACGCTGGCCCTCTAGCCCAGCGGAGTGAGAGCCTAAGGATTTGCTGAGGAAACACACGCTGCCTCTGTGTCCAGCTCTGCCCCCAGCCCTGTGCAGGCATCAGTGTCCCCATTGTACAGAGGGGATGACTGAGGCTCAGGGAGGCTACACCACAGACCCAGGGTCACACAGCAGGGGCATAACAAGAAGACTCGAGGCCAGATCTGAAGGCAGTGGGCCTCACCCAGCCTGGGTCAGTGTGGGGAACAGAGGGGGGCCAGCTGCCAGGAAGCGAGGGAGATAAGCTGTAGTTACAGCCACGACTCAGCCATGACAGTCCTTTGCTGCGAGGGACCCTTGTCAAGTGCCCAGATCACCCGCTTTCCCCCGTTCCCCGTAGAGTATCTGATGGGAAGTGCACAGGCCGCATCCTCCCGAGCCCCTGTCACTGTCCAGGGGGCTGGCACCCACCTCCTCGCTGCCCCCTGCAGCAGCAGCAGCAGCCTCCCCTAGCTGCCCCTCCCTGCAGCCCCCGACCTTGAGGTGGGAGAAGAGGGC